TTGAAAATGTTGTGGGAAATGAAGAGCAAAATTCCATTGTTAAGCATGATATGGTAGAGATGATGCATTATGAGTACAAGGAGCCATATCTCATTGAGGGGAAAGCTAACAAATTCAACCGTGTTTTGCTTAATTCTTTCTTTCAAGTGGATCGTTGTACGTGGGAGTTCATATAACAACATCCATGGGTGATTGCATTTGTGCTGCAATACGTTCATACCTACAAAATGGATGGGTACTGTGTATTGATCCTATGCCATGGAAGGAAAAATTTTCCATTTGATCTAAGTGGTGCAGTGATGAGTTGTGTAGCAGGTTGATTATCCCTTACATGATCACAAGACACGGATTCGAGGACGAATCNGGGATAGGCAATCACTTGGTCGAGTTTTGGAGTCCAAATTGAAGAAGTTGACAAGCCAAGGTTCAAGTTTCGTGAAGGGCTCGGGAGCCGAAACGAGTTGGATTCAAGGTTTGGAAGATATTTGGAAAGAAAACGAGCAGCGTAGATGAAAACGGGCATAACTTTCAGCTCGATTGTCGGATTTTCGTCCATGAGTACATTCCGAAAATGACACGAAATTCTGCACAAGGAAACGTAAGCTCATGGTACTTTTGGACTTGTGATCATAGAGAAACATGCCAAGAACAAGTTGGCGAAATTTTTCTCTTTTTGTGAGATTTCCTTATTAGTCTAGGATTCTATTTTATTTCCAACTTTGATAATATTCTATGACCTAATTACGTTTTATTAGGGCTTTTAGCATTAGTATAAATATGAGATTTATTTCATTGTAGAACTAAAATGAGATTTCTCTCTTTTTGTTCTTGATTGAACGTGTACCGAACTTATCAAATATTATTTTTAGTATAAATATGAGATTTATTTTATTATAAAATTAAGAACCATTTTAACATTATGAATTAAATAAAATTTCTCTCTTTTTGTTCTTGACCGAATGTGTATCGAATTTATCAAATATTGTTATATTTGTGGCGTTCAACCCCTATAACTTATCAAAGGATTGGGCACCCTTTGTGGTGTTCTCAAATTGAGGTTCATTGATTTTGTAATCAAGAGGCCATTCAAACTTTATTTTTGTTTGGTTGCTTGGTTTAGTAATTTGTTGATCGAGGTTATACCGTCTACAACCTGAATTTGGGCTTTCCTAGCGTTTTCAATTAATTCCGAGATTTTCACACTGATCCTGTACCCGGGTTCGCATAAGCTGATTCTACATTTAAAACCAAAAGAAAACTAAAAAGGGGACCATTTATTTCAACTTCAATTATCGTATACCGGTTGAAAGGATTTTCCCCAAAATGAGCAAACCCTATTGGAGAGATTTCTTCTGTAGTCGCGTACATTTAACTTCTTCAACGTTGATGCCTTCATCTCCTACGAAATTTGTTGCAAACTTTTGGTAAGTGATGCAAGAGGGTCCGAGTTAGATGTCGAGTTGTCAGATAACACGTTATGGCTCTAAAGTATCACAAGTTAGCATATCGGCGCAAGGAAGACAAGTGATCACGTAACTTTGGTAATTGAATCGTGTTTCTGTAATTTGCCATAACTTTGGCTACGGTTATCGAAATCACGATTATGAACACAATCCGAAAAGCTTGTTTCGGTGCGAATGTCATGGCCATCGAGCTTTGCTCAGTATTTGCCGTTTTCAACCTCAAATTCTGCTGTTTTCCCTTTCGAATTGTTATTTTTAGTTAAATTTTGCGATTTTTGGTAATATTTCGATTGTATGTTAGGAGATGATTTTTAACCCGATTTGGGCTAGATTTTTCGCAGACTACTTATTTTTTCCTTATTTTTGTTTGGCGTGATTTTTGAAATTTTGCAATTTTTGGTAAAATTCGAATTTTTGTTATAAAGTTCGGCTTGTAGACTTTTTTTGATCATTGCGTGAAATAATAAAATTCTTCAAACTTCATAGACGTTTTCTCTGTGTTTTTGACGTTAATCTTGTGTTCTTCCCTATGAATTTGCTGGTAAGACTAGCTTATAGAATAATCACTATTCTGCCTAGCGTCAGTAAGTTATTTGTTTTGCAAAACACCATTGTGTTAATAGAGTTAAGGGGGTTGAAGAAATAGAAAGAATATGGAAGAACAATGAAGTAAAAACGTTACCACGGTGTTGGTAGTGTATAAAATCAATTTTGGTGGGTTTAATTTGCGAAGGTAATGGTATTGTGAATGTGAAAACTAGCTTCAAATTTGGTGGGTTTCATTGGTTAATGTACTGGTATTGGAAATGGGGCTTGTTCATGTGAAAATGAGCTTCAAAAGATGGTTGCTTCTTCTCAAGTCAGAAATTATGCTAATTAGCACTATTAACTGTTTAAGAGTCCGAGTCAAGTTTTGCTTATCCTCGTGTGTCTTGAACTGGGAATGATTAACATATTTGAATTTTAATACAAAAACTTGTAACATGATTGCATTCTTACCTTCATTATTGCATTTTTTCGATGCTAAGTTTCGGGTTGATCCCCATCTTAGAATAACACAAAAGAATCATGGTATATGCCACAGTTGTAGGAGCTAACTGTGGATATTGGAAGTGGCTTGGAGATGATGAATCCAGTGGCGACTCAAGTACGAGTACAGTTATGTCGTCTACTCTTACGACGAATGAAGCAATCCGAGATGTATCTTGCATATTGGAATCTCTACTTCAGTTAAACGATGAACAATAATTGAATATTTCTTTCAATTTTATAGTCCGTAAATGTAAAGCAAGTGGTAAAGGGGATGAGAAAGGAAAAGGCCCGGCTTGATTATTATGCATTAGTCGAACTAGTTGTGTAACTTATGTTTTAACGTGGATTGTGTAAGTTGTATTTTGACGCTATGTACGCTGTGGTCTATAAGTGTACCCCATGTTATGTCAAACATTTCGTTCCATATATACTCTTTGTTAGTAAATAACATATATAGAGATGATGCTCAAATGAAGTAATATGAATGAGTTCGAAATAAATAAATAACATATAACAAGATGAGTTTGAAATTCATTACATAACGCTTAAACAACTTTAGCAAAACAAGTGGCATTTACTATGAAACAGCTTGTTGTCTTTTGCGACCATGTCATCTTCATCCCTGCATGGGCAAGTTATCTAGTCAAACAATTCCCTTCTTCAACGCATCATATTGAATCATGTAAAAAATTCACATAGACAAACCCCATTTGAGAAACAAAATTACATGTGCTGATTGACAACATCACCTTCTACGGGCAACGTAACATTAGTTGGAGACAGGGGGATGAAGTTGGAGTATTGTGAATGTTGTGTGAACGCATGACTTGGTTGGCCGCCCTGCACTGGAAATGCGAACTATAATCATACATATGTCTTCCATAGCAAATGAAACAAGGAATCTAAAATTAATGACCAATGGGAATTTTGAATACGAGAACGAAGTTGGAATGTAATATTCTCATTGTTGAGTTGCCTTAACGATGGGTGCACCATCTCCTAGATTAGTCCGATATGCCTTTGGTCTCTTTCCTAGACTTCGAAAGACTTGTTTTATGATTGTGTTCAAGATAGGCCGTGCTAATTCTCCATATTCCACACATATCTGAAGATGCAGTTAGCCTGGCTTTACAACCCGTCTGAATGGTTGGTTGCGACTTTGAAGAAGTACTTGTATTACTGGTTTTTCGGCCTTCACGACTACAGGTCAATGTAACGTATATCACAACTCCTTAATCATTTTTTTTCGAACTAGAAAACCTACATAGTGAGCATGTCGTTTATAGAAAATCGAACAATTCTTTTTCTTCCTTGAACTTCATACCCACCTCAGGCAACATCGTTGTACCGTCCATGCCTACAATTTCGTTATCCACTATGTTCAAACTGTCCATAAAGTTTTCATTATTGGTTTCTATCAAAATTTCGTCATCCATCACTTCAATAATTTGTTTCTCTGCAACAAAAAAGAAAAAAAAAAAAATGAGGTCACCAATTTGTATTTGCACAACCTTATTTCAAATTGAACCACAAAGTGGAATCACTGTTAGAATATACATTTTAGTCACCGGCCATGAATTTATGGGTTTCAGGTTACTTCTAAGTTGACATTACAGCTTCTTAGTTTATGACATTAAAACTTCTTAGGTTAAACTTATAGCTGATTTCAACAATTTCAACTTCTTAAGCTTAATATGTCAACAAATTCAATCCACACAATTTCATAAATCGAAAAATAACTTTGTTAAACATTATTACGACTGAATGAAGATAGGTCAGCTTCTTTTTCTCGTTTCGGAAAAAGAACTCCTCATATTTCAAATTAGATGATAACTTCATAATTTTAACATAAAAAAAGGAAAATAAAACCCTATTATCTTCTCCAACCATCCCTACCTCACCTCACCCCCACCCAACCCAAAATCAAAACTATTGGCACGACCACTAGGGTACTGCTGGCACCACTACCACCACTGCCTTCTTCTCCTACCACCATGACCGCCATCGCCAAAATGGCTCATTTCACCGTTCAAATCACATTCGTTGGCCAAAGCAGACACCTCGAAATCATATACCAAATCAGCTTGGTGCTTTTCCTCCTTTGCATAATGCAAAACTACACGATCATTTTGGCTGCTCAAATTATGCAAATGAATCGGCCTATGACCATCAACAACACAAACACGTGCAGAGGGACCGATTTCAAGATCTCTCCTAAGATCCTTATGGTACCCCCAATTTATCAGCAAAAGTGTAATAAGTTCATTCGATGACGAACTCAAAGAAGGCCCTTCATACTTGTGGATTTCTTTGAAACTCGAAACTGGGTAGCAAGCATACCTAACCGAATCGGTTTCAAGTACATGGCCTATTATTTTCAAAGAACATAGCGAATCAACATCAGAAGTCACGGAGAAAATTAGCAAAGGAGTGGATGAAGCCGAGGCTCGTGCCAATTCGCATAATCGAGTATAAAATAACTCCATATTTTGCTCCCTAACCATAAACCCAAAAATGGTGGCTGAAGGATAGTGGCGGAGGTGGGTATGGTTCCGGTAGTTTTGGTTTTGGGTGGGATGGGGTGGTTGGAGAAGATAATATGGTTTTTTTAGGGAAGCGGGAGGAGGTGACGGTGGTCGTGGTGGTGGGAGGAGGTGGGTGTGTCGGTATGGTGGTGTCGACAATTTGATTTTGGGTTAGGTTGGGTGTGGGTGGGGGTGGGGGTGGCTTGGGGGTGGGTGGAGAAGATGACATGAGTTTTGATTTTTGATTTTATTATTTGATTTTAGTTTTTTTATATGAAAAAGGGAAAATTACAATTTTGCCCTTTAAGAATTAGTCAACAATTGGCCATATTTTTAATTTTTGGTCAATTGACGGTCAAACTAACGGTATACGTCAATTTGGATTTCGGGTGCGAATTGTTTAAATGTTTGGTACCGTGGGTGGCACAAATCAAATGTTTGGGCAAAGTCTGCAAAAATGTGAAATATTTGGTACCGTGACTTCAATTTTTCCTAATTTATATACATTTAAACAAATGGGGTGTACATGAACCAACATGTAATTTAATTAATTTGAACCAATGAATACAGAAAAAGGATAATTTATATACATTTAGACAAATGACGTTATATAATAGATTAAATGAATAGCATTGAAATTAAATAAGTGTACATGAACTTGAATAATTTATATACTCCAAAAATAATTTATGATAAAATGAATAATCATGAAAATAACTACGCGTTCATGAACTTGAATAATTTATTTACTCCTAAAATAATTGAATATCTCCCAAAAACACGTGTACATAAATTTGATGACTTTATGTTATATTTAATATATCCATAAATAAATGTTAATTAGTATACATGCACATACATAAATAATTGAATTGTAGTATTTTTAGAGTAATTGAACAGCCTCCAAAATATATAAAGTGCACATGCATGAATTTGAAGAATTAATTGATTAAATTATAGTAGGATATATATAAATTAATGTTAATTATTATCATACACGTAAATAAATAATTGAATTGTATAAAAAATTCATTTTACATAAACAGTTTTTTAAAACAGTTTTTTATATCCACTAATTTTCAAATATCATTTTTATATTATTTATAGACATTTCAAAATAACGTGCGACGAACGTTTAGCCATGACTAGTCTCATAAACTATCCCATTTACCTTAAATGCGTTTGGAATTTAAATGTTAAAACTGAAATGCCATATTGGTTGACTTGGGTGACGTGTAGCATCTAATTATATATACACACACGTAGTAAACCGTGAGTGTATTTTTTTTTCCAGGAAAAAAAATTACAAAGTTCATTTCCTATAGATTTTATATATTCACAGTCTATTAGAAATAATTTATTTTACAGGAAAAAAAATTACAAGTTCATTTCCTATAGATTTTATATATTCACAGTCTATTAGAAATAATTTATTTTACTATTAGAAACAAGCCATATTTTCAAATTTGTTTGGTATCAATTGAAGTGCAAAGTTGTAAATTCTTATTTCTTGATATTTATATAAATTTTGGTATGAAATAGTACTCGAGGAACGGGCTCAATATGGTAGCATCGCCCTTTGTAACGATCAAGGCTGGTAAGTCCATCGGTCTACACAGTTGTCCATGCATTCATGTCGATTTCCATATTAAATCCTTCGGGATTGACCGTTTGGTCAAATATATAAATCTTACGGGATATAGAAATTCTTAAGAAATTTCTAGAGTTATTGGATGTAGCGACAAGTTTGCTCTAAATCTTAGAAAGTCGGTATGTTATGCCATTTTATATTTATATCATGTTAAATAAGAATATGCACGCATTTTATTGTGTATTTTCAAAATGCTCTCTCTTACAATAACTTTTCAGATTAGAACATGTCGTGTCAACGCGTGGAAGATTGACTGAGTTATGTTTATGGGATCGCCAAGTAAAATTTCTAGAAATAGTAATTTCAAACTTTAATTGAAAAGGGTGCTGAGGTTGGATCTAGGGATAATATAGAGGAGCAAGAAAAGAAAAAAAAATGGTTAAAGAAGGTGTTGAAAAAGAAACAATGGTAGATGAGGAGCATCTTGATTTTGTGACACATGAGAAATATGAAGTGGATGCGAATGAATCCACTCAAAGTATGTAAAAAACAAATTGATGTTTAGCTTCTTGTTATTACCTCTATCATTAAACAAATTCTAGATTTCTAATTGTTGTACTTGCAACATATAGGCGACAGTGTACAAATCGAGGAGGTAGGATGTGATTTACCAAAAGGACGAGGGTATCATCCAAAGAGAAAAGCATGCTTATTGTGTTCTCCCTTCACGGACCCAACAAAGAGGGGAAAGTTGTCGGACATCGATGTATATGATCTTTATCGAGAAGTGGATCCTGTGAAGTTGAGGCTCTTCACAAATGGATGGAAACTACATCTTTTGAGTAATTTTTACACATAGTTGGAAGTACATGTAAAAGTAATGATATTATTACATAAATATAACTTTGTGTCGACATTGTTGTATGTGCAGTGAAATTATACCTTTGCACTTTTACGATGTTCAAGCAAAAAATTTGATTGACCTTTTGAATGATGATGGTTGGATTACTGGCAATGTAAGTAATACAACTTTAATGATTTTACGATAATGTTACATAAGATTCAAGTTTATATTAACTAGTTCCTTTGTGCAGTTTATGAACGAGGCCCTATACAAGATACAAGAAATGACTTTCTCATTTTCTAACTTATTTCGACAAGATTGTTTCATATTGGATACTTTCTTCTGTAAGTTTGTTGTCAATGCACATGGCCAGTTGCAACCGAGTAACGAACTCAATTTTAGTAAGAGTTTGAACAATTACATGAAAGGGGCTACTCTAGAGCTCGGTAAACCTTGGAAGGACTGCAGATATTTGCATATTCCTTGCTGTGCTAACAACCATTTGGTCACAGTTCAAATCGACTTAGAAAAAGGAACAATTTTTATGTTCGATAGTCTGAAGGGTCACATTTGTAGGGCAGCGTTGGAACCTTACATTCTACCTCTACATGAGGTTATTCCACTATTGATCAAATTCCATGTCACGAGTGATGATAACTATAGCACGAAAAAGTTCAAATTTATGAAAGTGACAGATGTTCCCCAACAATTGAATGGGTAAGATTGACTAATTTCATAACTGGTAGTACTATATTATTTTAATTGTTTAAAATTGATACAATAACTGCACAACTATTTTGTAGATCTGACTGCGGGATATTCAAACTGAAATACATAGAATTTCTGCATGCGAATATGGACGTAAATGCAATTTGATTGGACTATATACCAATATGGCGGAAGAAATTGGATGCAGAGTTATTGGCTTGGAACTTCGAACTTTAGATTGTGTTTTGCTATATGTATTGATATTTCTAGGATGTTGCCTAGCTACTAGTTAGTGCATTTGGAACTGTAATGATTATGGATATTCATGTCCAGGGTGTTAATATAATGCATATTTATGTAAAGAAATGATCTTCATTCCTCTGGCACAAAGTATTTAATGTCGTTCAAGTACAAGAATGTAGTCATTCGAAAAACGATATTGAAATCGTTTCTGAAATACAAAACGATTTAGATATCGTTTCATCATCAAATACACACTGCTTTCTTGAAATGACTACAACGATATTGATATAGTTCCTGGGTTAGTAAACGATTTAGACGTTGTTTCAATACGAAAATTGCAATGATTAACATAATGATATTCACATCATTCCTGAGACACAAAATGATTTATATATCGTTTTAACATCAAATACACACTGCTTTCCTGAAAAAAGTACAACAATAATGATATAGTTCCTGGGTCAGAAAACGATATAGATATCGTTTCAATACGAAAATTGCAATGATTAACATAACGATATTCACATCGTTTTTGAGACATAAAACGATTTATTTATCGTTTCAGCATCGAATTCGTCAAATTTGCACTGTAACGGTATTGATGTCGTTATGTTATTTCGTGTGTTTGACACTACAATGATATAATTGTTGTTTCAGTGCAAAGAAACGATATCGACGTCGTTTTAGTTGCGATTTCATCTTAAGCGAGTTCTAACCCGTCAAATTTGTTCCGAAACGATATGGATGTCGTTACGTTCTTTCGTGGGTTTAACTCTACAATGATATTATTGTTGTTTTATATGATAGGAAACGATATAAGTGTCATTTTACTTTTGATTTTACCTGAAACGATATGGAAGTCGTTTGTAATGAAATGAAACGATATCAAATTCGTTGTAGTTCTTATTTGAAGTGTAACGATCTCGAACTCGTCAAATTTGTATTGAAACGATAGGATGATGGTATATTATTTCGTGTGTTTGACACTATAACGATATAATTGTCGTTTTAGTGTAAAGAAATGACATAGACGTCATTTTAGTTACTATTTCATCTGAAATGAGACAAACTCGTCAAATTTATTCTGAAACGATATAGATGTCCATACGTTCTTTCGTGGATTTAAGACTACAACGATATCATTGTTGTTTGATATGATATGACATAAGTGTCATTTTAGTTTTGATTTTAGCTTAAATGGTATGTATGTCGTTTGTAATGAAAGGAAACGATATCAAATTCGTTGTACTTCTTATTTGAACTGTAACGATATGAACTCGTCAAATTTGTATTGAAACGATATGGATGTCGTTATGTATCAAACCCACGAAATAACATAACGGCGTCCATATCGTCTCAATACAAATTTGACGAGTTTAAAATCGTTCCAGTTCAAATAATAACTACAACGACATAGATACCGTTTCTTTTCATATAAAACGATAATTATATCGTTCTTGCTAAAAATAATGATTTTTATCTCTCCAAATTTGAACTGAAATGATACGGATATCGTTATATTATTTCGTAAGTTTGATA